GGGATGGTGGATATAGGAGGGGGGAGCATTTGACTTCTGGAACTTGTAAAATTGTTTGTTTGGGTTGTTTCCAGCCCCCATCCCACCGCCGCTCCTGAGTGATTTGGAAATTCTAGCTGCCAGGTCCATGTTCGGGTGGAACGATGATTTATTTGAAAAATAGAGAAATCTGCTACGGGATCACTTTTAGTTTGCTCAGGGTGGGGAGTTTATTTACACTGGGATTATTTATGTAAAAAACCTGCAGTTTTCTCTACTGAGTAATAAACAGGGATTTGTTTTAGTTATATATATATATTTCAAAACACAGACTCACGTATGCATGCCCTCCTATATACTGCAAAAACGCAGAGCTGTGTCTCGCTGTTCCTCTTGTATGCCAAGTGCGTAGCTATGGGCCCAAATGCTACACAAATATTTTATTTTACATATAACATAAATCTTTAGACGCGTCTAAGAATTCAGATAAAAAGGGGTTTTTGCATTTTGCGTTGTATTTCTACCTTGGGGCTGCAGGGAGCGGGGGAAGGCGAAGGGGGTGCTCAGGGCCACCCCGTTCCCTCGCTGCTGGGCGAGTCCCTTCCTGCACCCGGTGGGCACCCACTGCAGGGGATGCTGAAACCACCTCGGTCCGGCTTCGCTCTGCGAAATTTGGGCCCTTTTTTGCCCTGGTCTCTCTGCCGTTGGACACGGACGTCTCTCTCCATCAGTTCGGGGCGGGATGGGACTGGCAGCGAGCACCGAGTGTTTTCCTTGCCCCAAGGATGCTGCTGAGTGTGGGACGTGTTTTTCCGGCTCCCCATGGATGCTGAGGTTGCTCTGTCCCGGGGAGCAAGGGACACGGCACCGAGCAGCTCCCAGGCTCCTTTTCCCATGGGAAAAGCATTTAAAGATAATTTGAAGGCAGCCGCTTCGGTGGTGGGGGCCGCGTGGCCTTGCTGGGCACCTGGGGCTGGTGGGATGCCCCTGCCAGACCTGCAGCCCTGAGACGTTCCCATCATGGTCGCTTCACCCATTTGTCCCTTTTTTGCCCCGTGCTGAATAATTAAGGGATCTTCCAGGGACAGGTGGCCAAAGGGGCCGGGGTAAGGACCCTGAGCCTTTGATCAAAAGGCGCTGAAATCAAAGGCTGGTTTTAAATACCGAGGTCCAGGTCTCCGTACGGAGCCGTCCCGACCTGGAGCCTCCAACAGGTAGGACAGCCAGGCCGGAGGTGCTGCTTGAATTTCTCTCTAAATCCCTATTTACTCCATAAACAGAATTGCTTGTTGTTTTTTTTTTACTATTATTATTTTTAAATTTAACAATTAAACTTTGCTGGGAGTGTATAATTTATTTCATTTTCCTTCTATTTTCATTTGCTTTATTTATCTACCATAAAAGAAGGAACGGCTGTCACAGGAACAGCGTGCTGACAGTTAAAAAAAAAAACAGCGTAACACTCATCGCATGAAAATTAAGAAGTGGAGTGTGATAGAAAACCAGAAATCGGGAGGGCAGGGAGTACTGGTTTTTCTGTGCCTGTCCGTCTACCTGCCTCTCCTATCTGCGATGGATTAGAAATATGCGCTAGCCATTTAGCTTGGCAAAAATTGTACTTTTTTTTGCATGAACATGAGAAAAAAAATCATCCTGCTGCTAAGTGGGAAAAGCTTATTCTGAGAAGAACACCATCCAGCTCCCAGGTTTTTACCTAGAAATGTTTGCAATGTCTTAATAATAACACTGAAAGTCTCAGACTCCATGACAGAATATCATTATATTTTCTGGTTTTAGGAAAAAAACTATTATAAATATGTCTCCGAATGGTGTATATATATCTTGGCTTACAGTTTAATTTGCTGTCAGTCTGAAACCACTCTTTATCGTAATCCTGGGCTCCTACTCATAACATACAAAACGATTTTTGACTTTGAAGAAAAGGATGAAAACAGGTGCTGCCTTCAGAAGCGGCAGACAAAATGCCTCTTTGCCATAGCCCAGGCAAGCGAGCGATAGCCTGCAGTTCTCCGGGAAACCCCAGCAAAAAAAGACATCCTTTATTTTATTTTATTATTTTATTTTACTTGATTTTATTATTTTATTTTACTTTATTTTATTATTTTATTTTTTAGTTTTAATTCTGAAACCTGCACTCGAGAATTTAGGGCTACAAATTCTACTTGCCGCACTTATCCAAAATAAACTCTGGCTGAAGAATAATATTTTAGCGAAGTAAATGAAACGGCCGCAGAAGAAGCACCAGGAGAACGTACCTTGGCGTGGAGCAGGGCTGCCGACCTAGTCCCGCCGGGCTCAGCACTGTCTTTTACAGCCACTTACGCTGGAGAGACTTTACTGGGAATTCAGGGGGATCCGGGGAGGGAGATGTCTTTTAATGTGGTGTTTTTAAACATAGCCCAGGTGCTCGCAACCGACTGCTGTGATCCCCCACCCAGGCTGTCCTCAGGTAGTTAACGTTCGCCAAAATCGTGATGGCAGTTACCTTTCCTGCCAGCTCTTATCTGAGTGGGCTTGAGCAGGACTTTGGCAGTGCCTGAAAGGAGGTATTGTTACCTTACAGGGGGAAAAAAAGAAGAAAAGGAAAGAAAAAGGGAGGGAAAAAAAAAGAAGGGAAAGAAAACCAAAAGAGCCAAGTTGAGAAACAAAGGAGGATTTTGGATCAGCTCTGCCCAGGACAGCGCTGCTTGCCAGTCCTGGGCTGGGACGGTCCTTGTGCCCCTGGCCCCAGGGCCTGGCAGCGGGGAATGTTTGCTCTTTAGAAAACGGTTTGATTTGTTTTGTTTTGTTTTTTCAATCTGCACCTATTAGTGAGGCTTAGCGTCCCTTTTGTAGGTATATGGGCGTCTCCTCCTCCCTCATCAGTGCCTTACACCCTCCGCTTGAACTCCTGCTCCAAATTCAGTGACATTCGACAAAAAGGATGTTGAAGGTACCATTTTTTTTTTGTTATTTGTGAAGATACAGTAAAACAGTGCTGAGAAAAAGAATGGCAATGTGAGCTTCCCCTATACTAGACCTCAGAGACTCCACAGATGCCGAGGACTGTCTGTAGGAAAGCAGGCTCCTGTCTTCTGCTGCCCATACAGCTCCTCCTGGGCTTTTTAATTAGTGATTTGCTTGTCCTTCACCTTGCCCTTTGTCCTGAGCTGGCTGAGAGACTGACCTTAAGGTCCAGAATCAGACCCTTTATCTTTTGGGGGTCTAACGGTCCAGGTTTGGTGTCCCAACCAATTTCCAAGAGGTCCCTGAGACAGTCTGAACGCCAGCCCCTGAGAAGGGGACAAACCTGAGGTCTCCAGAATTGCCTGAAACTACACAGAGAACGCCCACATTTTTTCTGTATTACTGGGGTAGGAGGGATATATTTTGGGATAAGAGAAAAAAAAAAAATCCCCCGAAGAAAATCAAATCCAGTCTTACTGGTCTGGCAGCATATGTGAAACAAAAAGCCAGGAGTATAACTGGGTGAGTGTGGAGGGTGTCCATGTGTGAGAGGAGACTTCTCCACCTGGGAAGTCTCTTAGGGCAAATATCAGAACCTCTTGGGCTATTTTAGGGGAAGCTGGTGGATTGGGCTAACGAAGCTTTAACGTTAACGACCCATTAACTCCCTGCCTGGTGCTTCCACCCTCCGTTGGAGCCCTCCCAGGAGAGTCGGTTCTGCCCTCCCGGCAAGGTCCTGGCAATCAGCAGGATTAGCCTCGCATGGCAACCGGCAGCACGTGGAGTTTGACCTTACAGGATGCTGAGTGCCTTCAGCTGACTCCGTGGTGGGGTTGGGACTGCTCGGCGCTTTATGGGACCTTTCTTCTGCAGCGGCTCATGGTGGCTCCAGCAAGGATTTTTAGCAGAGCAGAAGGGTCCTCATCTAACCTCAGCTGAGAAAATGAGGCTGTTTTCTCCCACCACATGCCATTTCTTCAATCGAGCAGATCTCTGTCAGCCCCAGATGCTCGTTAATTTTCAACATCTTGTGCCTGACTCGCCTGATCTAAGACCGTTGACTCAGAAAACAGGAAAGGTCAGTTTGACTAACATCTAACCCAACGCACTGGGCTTCGCGTCCAAAACAAACAGCCGTCGTGAGGGATGCAGGCTTGCCGAAGGTGATTCCCAGGTCTGTGTGCTTTCTCACCGTCCTGACATCCCAGGGCTGTCCTCCCCTCCGGCTGTGGGAGGGGGAAGGTGTGGAAACCCTCACGGGCCGGAAAACCAGAAACATTTTTGCAGAGGGATTGTTTCGAATAATTAAGAAGGGGAGGGAGAGCAATGATCGGCTGAAATCTAGGAGAAGGAAAACATCATTGCTTGTAGCGTAAGATCCTGGTCTCTAATCTTCTTTGCACAAGGTGGGACAACAGCCCATGGCTGTGGCTTGGGGAGTGTTTTCTGTCCCAGTACACCATGGCTGGTGATGAGCTCACGGGTCTGCGGAAAAGAGAGGATGAAATTCTCCGCATGGTATCAGCTTTCCACCACGTTTTTCTGGCATGCAAACAAAGAGCTTGGCCAAGGAGATTTACAGGGCTTTGCTAAGTGACCGTGCCCTGGCTGTGCCGTGGGGTTGCTGGTTTAGTGGGAAGGTGTTGTTAGGGGTGAGGAAGATCGGAGCGATGGAGGGATGCGGCGGTAGCTTCAGCTGTGTAGTAAGTCATTCCTGAGAGCTGCCTGCTCTGCTGAGGTCCCAGCTATGGTGACCTCAGGACTCTGAGTTTCAATAAGCCACTGATAGTTCCCTGAGGCCAAATGAGCCAGATGGTTCCTTGCGGTCTCCAACTCCTCAGAACAGGACCCCAGCTATTAACGCAGCCCATCTACAAGCCAGCGCACTTATAAAGTACTCTGTACATGCAGCATGTGCTTTGGTTGGTACAGAAGATTAAAGAAACTGTTTTGCTGTGGAATCGCTGAACGTAGTCACAGTAATCCATCATGTTAGATGGTTTTACAAAATCCATGGAGTAGGTAATCTGTGATGAAGAAATCTCCAAACTGTAGCTGTTCTTCTGTTTGCTCGTGCTGAGAGCTGCGTCAGTTGGAGAGCCTTGGTCTGGCTGTGTTCGTGTGGGTGGATGGGTCTGTGTTACAGCAGGGTAGGAATAGGAAATGGGTATTTGTGTTTTATGATTTCAGGGAGGCAGAGATACCAAACTGACTCCAAAGGGTTTTTTTTCCCCAATCCAACTGCTAATGCAGTACCCTGGAAAGGTTTGTGGTACTGTGGAGCTGCATTTGATCCAGTGCAGAAAAGGGCCAGAGGAAAAGATACATCCAAGTTCCTTAGCTTGGGAACTTGGCCATGGCCTGGTGAATAACGAGGTAACTGAGTCACCACCATAATTATTCAGTGTTTAGACGTGGAAAGGGATACTGCATTTCCACAGTAATTCCAGCTAGTTCTCCCCTGTCCCTCCCACCACCTCCAGATTATGTTTCTAAATGATCTAGGACACGAGAGCAAAATCAGTAGCTGATTAGCCAGCCTGCTTGGCTGCAATCACACCTTTCAGTATTCATTACCCACTCCTTGAATCTGATGTCGTTGAGCGTCTGCAGCGAGGGCTGCTCGGTGGTTGGTGTCATTGGCCAAAGACAAGGATTTCAGGGGACAAAGTGCCCTCGCTCGCCTGGCCGGTGGGAAATGAGGGCTCATTTGCAAACGTGATTGAGGAACATGATCAGCTCTTCCAGCGGTCTTAGCCTGAAGGTCGGCCAGTCTGCTGACACCGGCCTGGCTGCGCACGTGGAAGGTCACCAGGAGGGTTTGCACTGCAAGGAACAGCCGAGAAGTGGAACTGTTCACTGAGGGGTTGGGGCCAGCTTCTGAGCTGGTGGGAGCTGGTGGAGCACCTGGCATCAGCAGAAATGCTGCTTGTCTGGGTGTGTTTCTGAGGAACGCAGAGGGTTTTGCTGGCTCAGTTTGGCTCAGTGTGAAGATGTTCAGCAGCTCACTCTGAGCTCTTGGAAATCTGTTGGAAGTCATGTTGGAAAGAGATGATCCAGTGGGTCCTCTCCAGACGCCAGCCCTCCCTTCTTATTTTGCAGGTTGAAGCAACATCTTTATTTTGCAGTTTTGGTTCTTTTGCTACTTAACAAACTCCAAAAATAGGGTGGTACAAGAAGAACTAGACAACCGTATTCACAAAGTTTTTCCCCAAAGCTCAATGAAATTGCTGTGCGCAGACTTGAGCTGGCATGGGTTGCACCGAACTGATTTGGTGTCTGACCTTGCCCTGCTTCTGGCTGCTGAAATTTCTTCCCTGGCAGAAGGTCCCTGGGCTCGTGGCCACCACAGGGGACAATCCCGGCCGGAGATGTTCACGGCAAAGGTGCAGGAGGCTGAGCTGCTGCTTTCGGGAGGGGGGGTTCGAGGTGAACGCCCGCAGCCTGGGGCCGGGGGCTGGCGGGGAGGTCCGGCGGTGCCG